TACATGTTGGCACCATGCTGTGCATCTGCAGACAACCTGCGTGCTGCTGAAAAGTTTAATCGGAATATAAACTCCTTTCTATTCCTGTGATATTGCGGGGAAATCACCATGATTTTGTGAGCAGATACATCAGTGCAAGTATTGTAAGATCCAAGTGACATATTCTTTCAAAAATGTATCGTATTGGGATACTTATAAACAATGCTAATTTATCAAACAAGCTCTCTGGAATTAACAATAGATTATTTTTGTCTGTTGGTGTCTAGCCATGAAGAGCTGTCAAAAGAATACTTAGCTGTTAGATCACCATGAGTCTTTCAGGGAACATATTTCTCTAAGATATTAAAAAATGCTGTTAACACCCCCCCCCCCCCAAGCCTAATCAAATCAATCAACCAAAAATGGAGAAAAACAATTGAAAATTGGTATCTAACACCATTCAAGCATAATTTCAGTACCTCCGATCTGCATTGAGCTAAGTACTGAGTTGAGAGATATAACAAATGTAATATTAATATTTATCGTTTTGAGTATTCAAGCTACATCTCATTTATTCTTTGTTAGCAGCAGGGAAAAGTTCATCAGCATTTTTTATCTACATGTTATCTTCATGTTGCAAATACTACATGTATGAGTCTGGGAGTATGGATCAAAAGCACCACTTCTTTATTAGTCCCATACAGGTCTTTGTAGAATTATTTCTGATTAAGTGATTTGGCACTTATTGCCATCTTAGCTGCAATCCTTTGCACACACTTACAAATAAATCCTGTTGAGTTTAATAAAAACTCTCTGGAGTCTGCAAGGGAGTAATCCACAAAAAAATAAAAATAAATAAACTGGGTTATATCAACCAGCATCTGAGGCAGAATTATTCCTTTTTTAAAAACATAATTATGGTTTTCCAAAATAAAATAAGTAAAATTCACAGCCGGTTCACAGGTAGAAAAGATGATGTTAAATGTCCTAGAGATCTTAAAACCCGTGTTTCTTTTACATTAGCTTCCTGTGCCATATAGTAACCTATTTTGACAGACAAGAGATTCGGGGGGAGGGGGAACAGTTTGGGGTATATCATGCTGGCTCATAGTCTGAGGAGAAGTGCCTCATCCTACCATTTCAAGGTTAAGTGCCCCTGTCGAAACCCAGACGCCTTAAAGAGCCAGACTCAGGAGTATGTCCAAAAGAATAGTTTATTGATACAAAGCAAAAGAGACTCAGAGACACTTGCTTCAGTACCTCTGGTCAAAAACTCAAAAGTAGCAGTAAATTTAGCTTGAAAAGCAAACTAAAGCAATAAACCGAATTATCCAGGAAAAAGATCCAGATTAAACTCAAGTACTTGCAAAATCCCGCAAAATCACACAGCAAACAAAGGACGATCAAACAAAGAGCTGTGAAGAAAGAGCCGTGGTAAAATGCAGTCCAAAGTCGAAGAAAGCCGAGTCCAAAGTTGCGAGGTTCCAAAGTCCAGGAGGCAGCGTCGTTGTCAAAAGCAGTCAAGGAAAGGGGGAATCCGCACTCACGAGAATCCAAGCTGAGTTGTAATATGAAGGTAAACAGCAACCTGCAGATCCAGGACCCAAGCCCAACACGAAAGCGGCAGCGACAAGACCCAAGGCACGAAACCAACACTTTGCCTACTGCAAAGTTCTATCACTTCAGTGCCTACTTTTATCTTACAACTCATCATCCAACGATGAGCTGCCCTCCACCCCGTCATCATCACAGCTGCCTTAGCTTCTTCACCTGAACGCCGACACCCATCTCTCCAACTCCTCCACCTCTTGTCAAGACTTAGTTCTCTCCAAGAATCCCCAGTATCTCCCAATTGCCAATCCCCACCACCAGAAAATCCCGCAAACGTGCCACTAGACGTTGGTTGAGTACACACATCCCGAACCTCTTGCACCTTAGTCCAATCCAGTGATTCATCCTCATCCCCATCACTCCCAGGCACATCATTCCCAGAGAAACTCATGAAATCCTCCTCTTCTGTGGGAGCAGTAAGTATATCACGAATCTTCTTTCTCTGTCACTCCTCATCTGATTCCTGCTCCCAAGTAACCCTCTTAGTTCCCCTATTCCCATTGACCGTATCTCCTTCTGCCTCCTCACTCATTTCACTCTCAGAAAACCCTTTAAGGAATCTTCATCCGTGAGTGACATAAGTATCTCCTGGATCCTCTTCCTCTGTTCCTCCTCATCTATCTCCTGAGCACTCCTCTTCCCTTTTCTAGCACCCTTACTACCAGTTGCAGCATTGCTAACAGACTCTCCTACAACAGCCCCATTTACCACAAATTACATGGGGGATCATGTTTGTTTGTTTGTTTATTTATTTATGACATTTGTATCCCACCCTTCTCACCCTGAAGGGGACTCGGCATCTTACATATATAAACAACTTCTTCTTCATCTTCGTCTTCTTTCTCTTTGGTGGCAAGGTTGTGTGACACTAGTACACTGGTTTAAATTATCACGTTAACATACAAGGTGAAGATGAAGCATCCTGGAGTTTGAAAGACATTGGTTTATCACTTTAACAGTGGAATTGCGCAAACAACTAATCCTCCACCACTCAAATTTAGTCTAGCAAAATAAAGTAAATATGGTGGAAGATGGTAAAATGCATATGAAATATAATTCCCAACTTTTTCATGTGCACTCATGTGATAAAGGCACAGCCAGGAAGAAGGAAAGAAATTAAGTTGCTTTAGTTCATGGCATCAGCTCCTGCAAAGGAAGAGCTTCTGTTACTCAGTAATGCGGTTGGCGCATCAGAAAAAGAGGAAAGAAGGGCAAAGCAAATAATAAACAACATATCTGTGATATTATTTGTGTGCAAGATAGTCTATTTCTGTGAAAGTACTTATGTGATAATAATGGTTTTCAGGCTCTCAGTCTAGAAGAAACCCATGCCAATTTGTATCTTGCATAAAATAGTAATTTACAGCATAATTTTAGCTCTGTAGCAATTTTTCAGTATAAAAACGGTGCTGTTATGGGGTACACCTTTATGTTTCTAAGGTTAAGTAGTCGTCCTACTGTTTCTACCCTTGGAGAAGGAGCAGTCATATCTTTTTTTGTGGAGTCCCCTAAGTGCTCTAAAAATCTGTTCTCAGGAGGAAGAAAGACCTGATTATGCTGGCAGGAGCTACAAAACTGAGCAGAGGTTTACAATTGGTTTGTGGTCTTAACAGTTCAATCTCTGGTGGCGGGTTATCGGATGATACTGGGACTCTGATGCAGGAAAAGAATAATTCTACTTTATACCATTGGGACTTAACATTCTATTCAAGTTAAGTGCATTTAGGATTGCTTCAAAATACTATTTTCTATTATATTCCCTAATACTTTAACATTCATTAATTTGCTAATGCAAACATATTTTACTTACAGCTGGGCTGAGGCCACAATAGGGCGCTGGAGAGAGAAGGATACTCCCTCTTTGGAAGTGGAGGGTGGGTTGAAGGAGGAAAACCATTTCTCCCTGTTTTCTTGTTATTGCTCCTATCTAGGTCCCTGTTGTGGAAACAACCCTTATTTATGAAATAGGAAGTGTGGAGGGGGAATAACCAGTTTATTTATCATGTCAGAAGTCAGATGATAATACAATTATAATGTATTATAAAAACCACAAAATTAAAAGCTTGGCAATGTACTAAATTTCCTTAGACCAGAAGCTGGTCATTTCGAGTGCCTCTGGTGTGGCTGTAAGAAGGTCCTCCATTATGCATATGGTAGTGCTCAGACTGCATTGTAGTAAGTAGTCTGTGGTTTGCTCTCCTCCATACTCATGTTGTGGACTCTACTTTGTAACTCCATTTCTTAAGGTTAGCTCTGCATCTCACGGTGCCAGAGCACAGCCTGTTCAGTGCCTTCCAAGTCGCTCAACCTTCTGTGTGCCCAGGAGGGAGGTGGTGACGGATGTCAGGTGGTGTAATGTCAGGTGGTGCAATACTGGCTAAACAGTATAATTTCTCCAGAGGTGTAGGGTGTAGACATCCTGTGATAATGCAGCATGCACTATCCTTTTCGCTCTGCCACCACCTCGTGACCTCCACCCAGATAATCAAATAGTACCAATTTCCATTGCTTCTAAACTGCTTCATCAGTATGTTAATATAAAGCCCTTCTCAGATTATGTTTCATCATCCCGCTTTAGATGCACTGTAAAATAAAAGATTTGCCAACTATTTATACTTGCCAAATTATTGCCTTTATTTTCTTTAACTTTGAATGTCACTTGCAAATGGTTTTGTCTAAGATTTACTCTTGCTTTGGTTTAAAATGTTCAAACATATATCCCAACACTCTAATGAAATGCACTTTTAAAGCCCTTTAAAAATGTATTTCATCTGACACTTAAAAAGCATAGAATGTTCATTTTTGGTTTGGAAGCTTATTTCTCTCTTCATTTATAGCACAGTTATAGGGTGATACAATGTACAGTCTCCTTTATCCTTGCATAAAAATAAACACGAGCATGTTTGTCTGTTACTTATAAGCCTGGATTACCAGCAACTTTTATTGTTTCACAATATGATCATGTTCATATATATCACTAGCATTTAAAGGACTGCTATCCATAACATATTTATAGTGGTAAAAGATGTCTTCCTGTGGACTCTTAACTGGAAGTATGCATTGTTGAACACAGTGGGGCTTTTCTGCACATTTACTATGCATACAAACATGCATATGATTGAACTTCAGTAACACTGTGAGAATGAATGATATCTTGTTGTAGATATTGATGTTTGTGTGTTATCTTTTCAATGCAACTTCTTGATATGCATTCTTAGTAATATATGAAGACTACTTTAGCACATAATTTGCCGTTTGTTGATTTGAAAAATATTTAGAAGGAACAAGGGCAAAAGAGAAACTATACTAAAATGAATGTTTATAGTTCTTCATTGTTTTGAATTTTTCGAATGTTTATATGTTTTACGTCCTCAAAATTAAAGCGCTAAACCTCCTCTTTTTAAAAATAGCTTGATGCCAGTAAATGAAGTTCTGCGACATAAACGTTATATCAGAGATGGGCTGAAGAGAATATATATTCGACAAGCACCTGCAGTACATAGCAGTAAAAGCGCTATGCTTCACACCAGTAAGATAGAACAACAAGCTGCTGTTAAAAAACCTGCATCTCCGATCCAAGTAAGTGTACTGTTTATACTTAATTTAGAAACAATTGTTAAAAAAATCTGTACTTTCTGTATAACAGGTAGAATCATTCCATGGATCTAAGGAAAAGCCTTCATAATCTTAAATAATTAAAAGGTGGAAATTCTTTGTTTTTGGTAGGACTGAGGATTTTGAAGTCGATTATGTGAAGAATTTGGGGAGCATGATTAGCTTCAATCAATATGCTGAAGTATATGTCCAACAGGTTCATGAAACAATAGAAAAGCCTACTGATAGAAAAGCCCCAATGTGTTCTACCATAACAAGCTATCTTCTCCAGACTGAGTAGGGGCTATGTTCCTAATGTATTAGCTCAGTGTTTTCTCTCTCTCCTTCCATTGATCACTATGCCGGCCCAGAAATGTTGGAATATTTAAGCCATGTGATACATATACAGGAAGTCTCTGAGTTACAAACATCTAACTTACAAATGAGTCATAGTTACTCATCAGATACATACTTGGTGGAATAATTACCTCATCTTTTTTTTCAGTTGCTTTTGACTTCTTCAATGGCCAAACACCCACTTTTCTCTCAGATTATTATTTTGAAAAATTTAGAATATTTTTCTAAATTTTGTCCAACCCTGTTCTCCCCTTCTGCAGGCGAGGTTTTTTATTTCAGTCTAGTTGAGTGTTGCTGCTCTCGAGACACTTTCTGGATTTAGATTCAATTTCAGTGGCTCTTGGAGCTAGAGTTCTCTTCGTTCCTCTTACAGAGTTCCAAATCAAAAAAGACAGTGTTCAAAATATTGTATCTCCCTATTTGAGCATTCCCAACCATCAATATCTTTGTTGGAAGGCTTTCTGTTGGTCCCACCACCATCACAAGCAGAGAGCCTTCTTTGTGGCTGCCCCCAAGTTTTAGAACTCTCTTCCTCAGAAATCCTTACCAGCAGATGAGGAATTTGGTTTTTAATATATTGCAGCAGATTGAGAGGCATTTATTGTTTTTTAAATGAGTTTTTTAAACTGCTTTGGCCCTTTGGTTTTTTTAAAAAAATTAAACAAAAGTGAGATTTCTTTGGGTTTTAATTTTTAGTTGTACTATTTTTAAATAGTCTGTGTTGAATCTCATGCTGAGATAAGGCAGGAAATGCAAAAGCCTAAAAATCTCCAATTATTTTAAGAAAAGAAAGCATTGAGAACATTGGAGAAAGCATTGGAGATGGCCTCTTGATTGTTACTTACTTGTAGGGAAGAGAACAATCAATCCTGCTTTTCGATTATAGCCATATCTACTTCTGTTGTGGATCCTTAATCCAGGAACAAGGAAGAGGAAAGTGAGGGTTATGTATTTGTGTAGACTATTGATGAATAATGTGTATAAGAAGTTGAGGAAGATTCAAACAAGGATATAAAATAAGAACAATAAAGAAAATAAAACATGAAGAAAAGAAAGGAGGGTTTTATCTTTTCCCTGTGAGACCAATGAGTGGATGGGATGTTGATAAATATATAGGACATACAAAAGATTATGACACATACTTACATTTGGTCCCACCTAAAAGAGATGGGGGACCCTCTCATTAGACTTCTTTTTCTATTTAAATTACAGTAATAAAGCAATACTTTCTTACAATGTGTTTGTATATCTGTGTATGTTCAAACACATGAAATTTAATGAAAGTTTGGCAATGCAAATAGTCTCTCACCTCTTTTTGACAATAATGGCCACCCTGTGACTGTCAGTCAAGGGAATCAAAATGTTGTCTTTTGTTCCTTTAAAAAAAACCTGTATCTTTCCAGCCTACTTTAAAGTTTATTCATTTTTGCAGAATCTTCTACTTTTATGATCACAGTTTATGTGGTAGTTAGCACTCTAAAAAAAAGAAAATGATTTATAAAAGAAATAGAGCTACCAGATGTAATCATATAAAGTGCAATTTTTTAAAATAGAAAAAACATAGTCAAGCATTCTGCATCATTTTCTTAAGGCTTAATTGATACTTTTTATTATTATTGTGTTGATACAAAATAATACTGCCAGTCTGTTGGGAAAGTAGTTGAATGGATTTCAGCACTGATGTATCTAAATTATACCAAAAATAAGAGAAAATATTATTAAAGTAATTTGACTGCAAACTGCATCAGATAGAATATAACAAAATAAAATGGCTTGCTTATCACTGGGAATTGCAGTATTATATTTTAAATTGACACAAAATGGCTTCACTTGGGGTGGGCCACATCTGCTATCAGTTTCGGTGATGGTGGCCTATGGCTCCAAAATATTTAGACAAAATAGCTTGAATATATTATTCAAAATATACCCCTAAAAAAAAACCCTTAGATGTCTTACTTCCCTCTTTCCTGAAATATCTTCCTTTAAGCACTAGAGATGTAATTCTTCACTAAGTATCTTCTTAAAGTAGCAGCAAATAATTTAAGCATTTTCTTCCTGCTGTGAGAGAGGCTTCAAAAGCCAGATAATTTTAAAGGGCTATTTTCAATTCAGTTTATAGCAATTACATGTAGTCCTTTTGCAGATAATACAATGTTTTCTGCCCAGAAAATAATATTTCAATGCAGGAATGCTATTTTCTGAGCAGAACACGCTATTTGCTGCATAGAAGGTGCTGTCCTCTGTGCAACCATGTACAACATTTTTTGCACAGAACAAATCCAGAACTGCAAAGATTGTCATCAGTCCAAGATTGTTCCCATTAGAATTTCTTAACACTCAAAAAGATATTTTTTCAACCAATTTTTGAATATATTTTCAGCCCCTTTAATCACCATACTACTAGGGACTAGTTCTTTAGAAAAAAATACATTGTGCCATTACATAAATAAAGCTTCTTTACCTATACATTTCTATAAGTTGATTCAAGCCAAGTTTGCACTTACTATTTGAATATGTCTTTACCAGTATTGTTCCTTGAGCATCTTAAACAATTAGGCAGTGTATAAAAATTACACCTAAAACAAAAACACTCCTAAGTTCAGGATTAGACAGTGGGGAAAAGAATGAAAGTCAAAATAAGAAATGGCTAAGTAAAAATACATATGTTATATTTTCTGTTTTCTTTGTCCAGTAAATCTACTTACAACTTCTTTCATTCTGTGTCTGTTTAAGTTCTGTATCTCTTGTACATTCTAAACTTTCATGAGGCTTTCATCTCCACTGCACCCTATAAATGAAAGCCTACCTGGATCTTCAAATTCTCCAATCCTTTCAATAATCCATGGCCATGAATTTTTACTGGCATAGAAGCAACACAAGAATATTGACAGTTGATATGCTAGCCTGGATAGAAAGTGAAAGCAAGCTGAAGTTTAGCAAATGTCTACACGGTATCAAAAAACTTGTTTTCCTTACCAACTAACCACCTTGATCCAAATAAAATACCTATGGAATGGTAATGGAATAGTTTCTATCTCTTGTGTATCATTTTTAGATTCATGTTAAACAGTGTTGTATCCAGAAACTACAGTTAAATATTGGGCAATTAAATATTATTGTCTACAGGTTCATATACACTGTAGAATAAGTGCAGCTTGATACCACTTTAACTGCCATGTCTCAGTGCTATGGAATCATGAGAATCTGGGGACACAAGTGCACTAACACTTCTTTTGGGACTAATCCAGAGTTCTGCATGCTGGATTGGCCTTGATAAGTTTCCCCACAGAGACTCCCCAAACATCCGCAGACACTAAAAGGCGTCCTCACAACTCAGCAGCATTGAAGGTAGTTCATCACTGCTGAGTGGCCACCCTAGTTCCCCCCTCCCTCGTGACCTATCTTTCTGCCATTGCATACCCTGACATCAACTGGGGTGATGGAGTGCTGAGGTGAGGGGGAGGGGAGATGAGGAAATCCACCCCTCCTATGACATGGGAAGTGAGGTGTGGTGCCGTTTCATTTGGGAACCATCCCAGTTGTCCCTACTGGCAGAATTCCAGGCAGAATTCAGAATTTTCCCAAACTTTGGGTAATGCAGGGCAAGGTCACATTAGGGGGGCCTTGCCCCGCACTACGATGGATCAGCCCTGTACCGTGATTAGTCGTTGCAGGGCTAACTGCATATAGTAGTAAAGGTTGGTGAGGAACCAGCACCCATTGGCAGAGAATGCAAAAAAGCCTTGTTAAAAGGCAATTCCGATGATACCATAACATTGAACCATGGCAGTTACAGTGGAGCAAACCTGCATTCTACAATAAAGATGCACCACACAGATCTTTAGTTATGCATATTTATATGAAAGGGGACTACGTAGTGATGTTCAGATTCCCCACCAATAGCATATGCTTCCTAAACAGAATGCTTCTCTTGTTTGCACAGATAAATCTAAGGTGCCCTTGTCATCTACAAGCTGCAAAGAAATGCATCTTGGTGTAACAGATGATGAGTGAAAGGGCCGTTTAGTCTAAAAGCTAGAATTTATTCAAGGAGCATAGGGATATGAGATCGAAACAAATATTCATTCATCCATGCAAACACTGATACTACCTAGAGAGATGAATAATTTTTCATGAAAGGACAGAAAAGAAGAACTAAAATGATTTTTACTTCTGTTAAATGAAAATTAGTAACATCTATAGTAAAATGCTGTCCTCAGCTTTGGAATTTTGCTGCTGTAATACGTTTGATAAATGAAGTGTTGATTTTAACAGATTGTAGACCTGAAAAATCGCAAGGAGCTTCATTCATATTTGAGACGATTGGAATACCCCCTTGTATCATCCATGCTCAGAATGGAAGAAAAGAACAAGATCAAACAGAAAAAATCAAGATTGTCCCGAAGAAAGGGTTAGTAACCTAACCATCAATTCTGTACCCAAGGCAACACTAAGTATATTTTATGAGCTGCTGTGTTGTTTTTGAACAATAGAAACTCATAGATTGCTTTGTGCTTTTATTGTTGATAGTTTTTATATGTCCATCTATTTTTTTTTACATAAAATTACACTTACATGTCACATCTGCTTACTTTTAATCTTGTTTCACCCTTATACGTTAAGGTTGGTGAATATATCATCTTCCATATGATGTTAGATTTCAGTTCCCATGAGTGATATGGATAGGAATAGAAAATGATAGGAATAGAAGCTCAGCAATCCATGAATCTCTTATAAATGCCTAATGGGTAGCTATTTCCAGAGCTTGCATTTATGTTTTTTTTTTTTAAGGAAACAAAACTTGTCTAGTGGTCTATACTTTGTGATGATGAAGTAAGAGGTTTCATTTCATTTACAAAACCTGAGAGAATCAGTTTTTAAAATTACCACTCTCTACAGTCTGGAGGTAGGAGATTATAACACATGGGTGTATTTCATTTGTCAAAGAACATGGACTTTTTACATAGTTAGCAAAATTGGGTTTGATTCATGAGACTGAAACTACCAGTCATCAGTTTTCATTAGTGTCGTCTTCATCTGTAGTACAGTCACTAGATATAATGTAATGTTCCTCATGTGGAGTATACTTTGTATATCTTTGTCAGCTCCTTCAACCACTTCCAGGGTGAAAGAAAGTTACTTCAGGTGCAGAATCAAATGTCTTCCAGTAATTTAATTCTCCCTAGCTATTTTCTGTTGCTTGTATCATATTGCCACAAAGACACATAAAGCATAATCAATTTGGAATACCTAACTAGAGGTCAGCTGTTACCAATTGTGCCACGTATTTTGAGGAGTCACAAATAGAGGACAAAAGAGAGAAATGTGAAGTAGGAAGGTGCACCAAGAAAATCATTGTTGAGACTTCCCTCCATCTAGAAATCTATATTGTCAATGTGAAAGACTGTGGATCCAGAATAGGTCTCCACAGTCACTTACAGACTCACCTTCAAGACCCTAGCCTTGGAAGATAGTCATACTCAACCACCAGTGATCATCTCTCTCTCTCTCTCTCTCTCTCTCTCTCTATATATATATATATATATATATATATATATATAGACATAATACGGTGCATGTTTAATATTTATTTAAGGAGCATGCAGTGATTTAGTTCACCAGAGATGGGTATATAAGAAGACATTTGTGAAATAATGTAGGTCAAACTAAACAATACATTTATCAGGTGCTCCTTCAAGTGGTATAAAATATTCTTATGGTAGCACTTCCATTTTCCTCTCTTTCATATCCGACATTTAGTGTGCCTTTGGAAACATAGCATTGGAATTCACTTTGGAAAGAAAACACTGACATAACTTGAAAATCAGATTGCTGAAGCAAATATCTGAGGAATTTCTGTTGTAAAAAAAAAACAACCCAGGATAATGATAGGGAATATACATTGCCCTCAATGTGCAATTTGGTAGAAAGCATCATAGAAACAAGTTGGCAGGGAAATGTTATAGCATCTCCCTCTATAGAATTCAGGGCATCCAAGATAATTTTAGTATCCTCCTCTTCGTGAGAAAGAAATTCAAATGAATAGTTTAAGGCAGAAGCTTCGTTATAAACTGCACAATTCAAGGCTTCTTAAATAGGATTTGGAAATTTATCCCATGTTTGATTAAAGCAAGGTTATTGAACATTAACGACCATGTAAGAAATATGTAGAGGGCTGAAGGACATAAACTAGTCACATTAGCTGGAGGTGATAATCTAATAATATTTAATATATTTCGTATTGTTACAGGTTGTAGATCGAATAGTATTTGCCTACCATTCTTAGGCTAAAAGGTGTCAGTCAACAGTGAGCATGGATTTTTTAAAATCCAGAAGATTGCTTGAAAATTTTTAGTAGGGTTTATCTGGATTTTTTGTGTTGCTATACCAGTAATAGGATTAGGTTTTAGCATTTTTCTCCTGATCTGGCACTCCACAGCACTTTAGGCTAGTGGGACTATCTTGCCTTCAGTGAAGGAAAGCATTTATGAAAAATATTTTCCTGTAGTAAACAGAATAACACAGGAAAAAAATGTATATTCAAGGCAGTTGTGTTTGATATTTCTACTACACATATTACATTTTGCTGGCTATACAGCAACATATTTAAAAGATCCAAAATAAACTTCTTGACATCTCCATTAGTCAACCAAAAAGTGCAAAACATATTGAACTAGTTTTTAAAGCTCATTTTCTTCTTCATCAGGGAAAAATATTACAAATCTTTATGTGAGGATCATTATGTCTGGAGATGTTTACTTCAGGTGGTGCTTAAGATGATTTTGAGGAAAGCTTGGCATATCCTATCCCATTTAGAGTATACGAGGACTGAGGAAAAGACTAGTGCCTATTTATTTATTTATCGTATCAGAAGCAAACCAAGGATACAGTTGAAAATGTATTTTAAAAACACAAAGTTTAAAAACCTGCCATTATATTAAATGTCCTTTGACCAGAAGCTGGCTACTTGGAGTGCCTCTTCCATTGTGCATGTGGCAGGGCTCAGGTTGCGTTGTAGTAAGTGGTCTATGGTTTGCTCTCCTCCACACTCGCATACCATGGACTCCCTGTGTGGCCCCATTTCTTAAGGTTGGCTGTGCATCTCATGGTGCCAGAATGCAGTCTGTTCAGCACCTTCCAAGTTGCCCAGTCTTTTGTGTGCCCAGGGGGGAGTTTCTCATTCAGTATCAGCCATGACTTGAGGTTCTGGCAGATGTCAGGTGGTGCAATACCGGCTAAACAGTATATAATTTCTCCAGTGGTGTAGGGCATAGATATCTTGTAATAATGCGGCATGTCTCATTAAGAGCCACCTCCACTGTTTTAGCATGTTGAGATGTGTTCCACACTGGGCATGCATACTCAGCAACAGAGTAGCAAAGCGCAAGGGTAGATGTCTTCACTGTTTCTGGTTGTGATCCCCAGGGGGACAGGAGAGAAGCCTCCCTGAAGGATTGCAACACATCTGAGTGCCCTCTGGGAAATGTTTTTGTAGACGGCTGATTCTCTCAAACCAGAAGCAACCAGAAAAGAGTAGTAAAAGCCAAGTAATAGAATTGCCATCGTCACCGGCAGCAACTCCCTTTTGAGATCTAGTCCTGTCTGTCTTGTTCAAGGCTGCAGCCATCATATGGCCATTCTCAAGTTAATGGGTTAACCAAATTTGACAAGAAATATTTGTTAGTGTTACATAGAACTTCTTTAAAGCTATTTTTATTTAATTATATTAACATTGTAGAACATAAAAATTCTCCTGATGTGGAGTGTGAATTTCATGATTAATCTTTTATATTGTGTTAATGATGAGGAAGTTCTTTGCATAAAATGTACTAAACTAGACTGCTTAGCAATGTCTTTCTGCAAAGGTTAAAGGAATTGTGGGGGAAATATGATCATTACATTCTCAGTTGCATCTATACAGATTCTAATTATTTTTGGTGTCAGCTTTGAAAAGCATAGTGTATGTGTGCCTGGTGAACACTGCACTGTGACAACTGAGAAAAATATTTATCCTATACAGTTGTGAAAAACTACAGCAACTATTTCCTGACCAAGTCATTGATACAATGCTCAGTTGTCTGTGATGTTCCTTGCTCTTTTATTTTCTTACAACTTGATTTATGGCTTACCTTTCCTATCCTCCTAAGAATTCTTTCTACTTTCATTTGATAACTTTGATGATCCGAGCTTATCTTTGATAGTGTTTTCATTATCTGCAACACTGCATTTCTACTGGCAAGATCCAGATAATGGCTTGTTTAGGTGTAACTTCTCATGCCCTCTTCTCAGGAGGAATATTCCAGAACAGTTGTGGTGGTTAGCCCTTGCTGCTTAGAGTTATTCTAACAAAACCGTTTGTAGCAAAGAATATAGAGCTTCCCATCCATATCATGCTGATGCAAGAGGTTGTAGCATATATGGATTTCTAAATATGTGTTTTCAGGAGAAATATGAGGCAGTACAGAGAGAATAGCTGGGCAAAAATATGGATTTTTTTCCAGGAGCAGAGAACAAGACACTAGTATGTGGATGAAAATGGAAGAAGGGTGCAAAGAAGGCCAATACCAGATTAATTTAAGTAAAAGAGAAATTGTATAGCTGGGTGATGCAGATATAAGTTCTCTCTGTGTGAATCTTGATCATGGAAGGCTGGATCCATACAAGACTTTGTTCGCTCCAAAAAGTGACAAGGAACCAGTGATGAGAAATAATTATGCGACTGCGATAAGTAAAGCCTTTTCTTTGTGTGCTATGTAGGTCAGACCAGTCTCTCAGGTAGTTAATACAAGAATGGATGTCAAGAGAAGATATGCATAATTAGGGAATCATTTCATCCTTCTGAATCTTTTTGGAGAAATATTACCTCTGAATGTTCTGTGTTGCTGGACTGCATCCCTTTATACTGGCCTTTGCAATGGCATGTCAGCTTCCCAAGCTGTAAATAGAAAGTGGTGACTGCTTTTCTTTTTTTTTCAACATTGCTATTGGCAGTTCAGATTGACCGTGTCAGCTGTTATAAATCTGGAAATAAGTAAAGACATTGCTTTCCGTATGTCTGTGATATAGAGGCTAGAAACAATTCAAAGACTGCAAAAATGCATTCATAACTGAATGAAATTATATCCGATTTTGTATCCTGTACTTTGCAATGAATATTCACCACTGGCAGAAGAATTAATCATAGAATCACTACCATAAACTATATGGCTTGGGAGCTGGAGGAGAAAGAACCTAAAATTTCTTAGAAAGCAGATTTCCAAATTTAATCAATTACAGCCTGATCTTTTGTTGTATGAGAGCATGCTATAATTAATTAAAATTGTTTGCTGACATGTGACTCATCTCAATATGGCATATTCTTATGTAAAACAACAGTTATTCAGGAGGAGGCTTTTCTTGTGAAAAATGGGT